ACTACTGCATCTTAAGTATGTTAGCCAGTGTATATATGCTGAAGAATACAAAAGTAGAAACCGACACAACGTAGGATGATTTTTTGATGAAGGTGTACTTTATTTCGGCTGGCCAAACCAGCCTTCTTCAGGTGCAATGAGAATTTTACATTGGGACGTGTTTTTATGTAGCATATTTTCGTAATACCGGAAATACGTAAAACTAATTGACAGTGTAAATTGAAGACAAGCATACGGTAAAATAAAATGACATAATAAAAGAACGTGATAAAAGGAAACGGTTAATATGTTTCTTCACAGGTGTTCAGACCATCAGGATCAATTGTTCTGCCTTTTTGAATTAAAAAATATATATCCTCACCTCAAGTTTCCTGTCTCGCGAGTCGCACGTGTCAAACTTTCTGTTAAACTTCAGCACAGTTTTCCCGCCACTTTCTTGGAAACTTGTCAACTCGTAATCTTGCTGTTTGTCGATTGGTGGAAGTGCTCTCGCATCCGCAAAACGATCCTACAACAAGAGAAAAGAGAAGATACTTGCGTATGTACTGTCTAATCTGACTGTTTCTAAGCTCGACAGTGGACCTATTAACGATGTCAAGCTTTTCCGCATCATTTTAATACACTCAAACAAGTAATAAGCCTCGCCTGCCAATTTTAAAAAGAAATGCATTCGGGGGGGGGGCAAGCGTTGCCCCCCCGTCAACCAGCATACATTTCATTGTAAAAATTGACGAGTTTGGGTCCCATATTTCTGTGAAGTTGCAACGGATTACAAAATTCGGCATGATAAACTGATCTATTGAGATGGTTTCACGTTTATATGATATTGCGCGACATCCGTAAAAAGAACTGCATAATAAAATAGGTCCACAATGCGTACACATAGAAGCTACGCGTCTGGGGTGGGGGTGAGGACTTGGTAAGTATTGCTGGAGGCCGTTTATTGAATGCTACCCACCTTTCAGGACAAAGTACCATTTCATTTGATTGTTCGCTTTTCAATTATTTAATTTTTCTAAAAATAATATAGTTATTGAATTTTATCTGAAATATTTGAAATAAAACAAATCATTATCTACTGCATTTTAACTACACGTGAGTGCACTGGCCACTAGCAGAAATTCATTCAGTATTATATCCTTCCTGCTGCACCGAGTCGAGGTTGAAGTTTAGAGTTGAACAAAGTAGTATGCTGTCAAGAGCACGTATAAAACTGAAATACCTTTGACTCGTGGTGTTTAATGTTAGGGGTCCTTGTAGTGCCACCCTATGCGTGAACAAGGGCATAGCATGTATAATTAGTGCGTGCTCATCTGCCGCTGTCAGAAATAGATCTTAAAAGAATGCCACGCATCACTGGGAGTTTATTCAAGGTCCAAAATACAGTCGAACCCCCATTAAGCGGCCAACCACGGGGAAATGCGAGGTGGCCCGCTTAATAGGGGTTGGCCGCTTATAGAGGTTGGTGTACCTTGAATATTTTTGACCATCGGGTCAAAATGTCACGCAATATCAACGGTTTTTCGTGTTATTTTTAACGCTCACAAAGAAAAAAAAAAACTTAATGTGAGAAAAGCAGTTGTTTTAATTTGCACGAGACAAAAACAAAGGCAGCAAAAACCCTTAAACGAATCTTGCATGATTTTTAAACCTGTATTCGTCGCGTCAAATTCAACCTGTTATCCACACCTGTACCTCTATTAAGCGGACACCCTCCAGGTGGTAATTTGAGGCAAGAGTTAAACAAGCGAACAAAACTAAGCACACAATCCACATTTATTGTTCACAACAACTGTAACGCGAGGTATGTTTAAGGAGTCCACACAGTAACCAACAGATTTTATAGCAATGACAAGCTTTGCCTTAAAACGAAACATTGACAGCTTTGGCATCTCATTAGCATGAAGTAAAAAAAAATCAGTGATGGTCGTCTGTGATTTGTGGTTGCGTAACGTGATTTGGAGAAGCAAGACACTGACTTTGTTCCGCTCCAGCGAAAGTTCTTTGCGACCATAAAACCGTGCTCCAGTTGACCACCTAATGTAACATGTTGACCTTTTAACAAAGGTGAATTACAATAAAATTTCCAAACGGTGACCGCGTGACCGCTTAATGGAGGTCAAATATATAGTAAACATGTGAAGCGAATTTCGGGAATTTTGAATGGTGACCTCTAGATAGATAATGACCGCTTAACAGAGGGTCGCTTAATTCTGGTTAATCGAGGTTTGATTGTATTCATCAGCAAGAAATACGGGGAAAAATGTGAACGCCTTTCCCCTTTCCTTTGTGTATTTATATGTTGTTGAAAGGGCGGTTCCGGTTATCACTAGTATAAGAGGAAAACAACTAATACAACTCACGGTAGAGCTCCTTCCTTACCTTAAGATATCCGACCTTGTTATCTTTGACCCACCCTATTACAACATCACTGCCGGCCATTTGCCCAGAATCGGAGAACCCAAACCCGACCCAGCCAGTTGTCTGCGCCTCTAGAGCGAAAGACACCGCTTCTGCGTCCCAGTCCACAGTCCACTAAAGTTTCATCTTCTCTTCTGGATCCAGAACTGCATGATGAACGAACTCCGACAACAGATCAATTGACAGCTGTCAAAACAAGGTATCTACTGACCAGTATCACGTGACCATATCGCGGGCTCAAGTTTACAGCACATCTAGGTTACGTGTTTTTTGAAGTTGACCGCTGGCCAAGTGCTTATTTTC